AGATGGAGATTGATCACCTCTGATTGCGGGGGCTTGATTTGGATTTCTAGTACCGGGGACGCGAGAAATGCAGAGACTGTACGCGACTTGGGATTGGATTTAGGCTTGCTTAGGGTGGAAGAGTCATGGCATGGATGCAGCCCGACAGAAGGCTTTAGCATTGCCGCGACAGGAACTTCACAGGTTGCAAGTGTCGCCAAGGAGGAAACCCAGCCAACTCCGGAGCACCGGGATCAGAACTGGCAGAAGTACCATTTGCTTTCGTATGAGGAGGAACAGCTTGCCAATCAGGTTGAGGAGAAGCTCCTCCAGGCGAGCATTGCACCGGCCCAGGCCGAGACGGTTGACTTGAAGGGATTCTATAAAGTGGACCGTCAGGAGCAATGGAAGAACTCGCTTGTGAAGGAGTACGGCAAGATGAAAGATGTCCTTGAGGAAGTGACCCGGGGACAACTGCGAGAGCGACTTGGATTGCCTGGGGGAGCGCGTCTTCCCCGTGAGATTCCTTCGAAGATTGTTGCAACTCTTAAGCCATGCGACGATGCACAGGTTGCCAACGAGGACGGGTTTGCTGAGAAGAGCCGTTTGTGCGCGTGTGGGAATTTTGAGTCTGGGGCAGACAACAACGGGGAGCCTTGGACATCTTCGAACATCCCACCGGAGGTCGTCAGGACTTTTGGCTTCAACACCATCCTGGACCTTAGGGGGCTTGGACTTTGAGGCGGCATTTCTTAATGCAGATATCTCTTCAGGAGATCCGGTGATTATCACGCCACCCAAGGTGATGCGAGACTTGGGTTTGGTGAGTGAAGACACAGTGTGGATTGCGCGGAAAAACATCTATGGGCTAAGACGTGGCCCCACGGAGTGGGAAACCGAGCGAGACACTAAGCTTAACAACGCGACCATTGAGCCGACCGAGGGCGACAAACATTCCAAGCTGACATTTGTTCCGATCAACCTTGCTGCAGGCTTATGGAAGCTGGTTAACGAACGAGGCGAGGTGGTTGGAGCATGTTGCTGCTATGTGGATGATGGTCTTGCTGTGGGCGACGTGGAAGTGATCAGACGGGTTATGGCTTTCATTCAGGGCTTATGGGCTATCAAGGGTCAGGGCATTCTTGAGAAACCGGGATTAGGCCTTGACGGGGACTTGGTTGTTAGTGAAGCCCTTACCTTGAAGCTTGTTCAGTGCGTGCGATTCCTCGGCGCAGAGATCTCTGTGGCGAGCGATGGGTTGCAGATTGGACAGGCGAAATACGTGGCTCAGGAGCTTCGTGCAAGGGGATGGCTCACACTTAAAGGTGCCGAATCGTTGCCTGTGCCATCGGAGGGTCTATCGGGGCCCGAGATCCGGGATCACACGTTTGATCACAACGTGAAGTTGGCCCAAAAAGAGGCCGGGACATTGATGCGGATTGCTTTGCGTTCCAGGCCGGATATATCCGCTTGTTTGGGGATCGCTTCGACATTGATTACTTCGAGACCTGCTGAAAGTTTGCGCATGTGTAAAGGTATATGGAGATACCTACGAAACACTTGGGATAAACTTCTGCATTATCGCTACGGTGGCGAACCTGAGAATCCCGGAGCCAACGAGGTTGGAGCGGAGCGGAGTTTCCGCATAGTTTCTGACGCGTCACTGGCGCCAGGCGGCGCACGGTCCCGCAGTGGGATTGCCCTTTTCTTGGGGGAGCACCTCCTACTTTGGAAATCCCAGCGACAATCGATTGTAGCTTGGAGCGCAACCGAGTCCGAGATAGAGGCCACCACGGGGGCGATGCAGGAAGGAATCAAACTTCACGCAGTCATCGAAGAATTGCTTGGGAGCAAGATCCGCGTTGTTGCCAACGGGGACAATTCGGGCGCTATCCACTTGGTCACCCGGCAAGCGCTTTCACATTCAGGAAATGAGAACAAGGCATTTTGCCATTAGGTGTGCATACATCAGAGACCTGGTGATGCTGCACGACATCCACGTTGAGCATCATGGAACCAACGAGCTGATGGACTTACGAAAGTCTTGGGAAGGGCGAAGTGCCGTGGCGCGAAGACAGCTACGGATCCTGTGAGCAGGGTGACACAACTTTTTTCCAAACAAGTTTATCATGAGGCACTGGGGTGACATTCCAGAACGATCGTGCAGAAACGTGCCGAAGGAATAGTCCAGCGCAGGGGCACGACCCCTCTCAAAAGGAGGAGTGTCAGATGCCCATGATTTATAACCTTTTGCTTTTACTTTTGCTCATGATGCCAGACTAGGCCAAGATCCGGCTATTGGGCGATGTGTTTAAACAACAATTAATTCTTTCTGCGAA